CTCTTGGGGGACGTCTAGACTACAGGCTTTTGTCGACAAAGCTTCTGTCGACAAAGAGCATCTAGACTACATTCAGTTCTGTCGACAAAGCAAGCTGCTTTGTCGACATGGCAGTGTAGATGCAAAGGACAGTTTGGATGCAATAACGCCTTCTCTCGACAGAACTCTGTTGACAAAAGGCGTTATTCCTCGTAAAATGAGGTTTACCAGCGTCGACAAAATGAATTGGGTGGAAACAACTGCACGAGTAGATTTCGGGAGCGCAGTTACATTGGTCTCAGGGAAACTAGTAGTGCAGGACCAACTGACCTGAGCCAAACGCACTGGAATATCGTGTGTAGACGGAGACATTTAATTATTATCCCACCATCCCCGTGAAACTGGAAGTACAAGGGTGAGTCACAGCTGTAACTGGGGCAGTGGTCCCAAAGCTTCCATACCCGGTGGTCATAGGGCGAGACTTCCCTGGGTTTAATGACCTGCTGCCGCACGACTGGGTGGAAGAAGATAGCTCCCTCCTGGCCTTCCATGAATTTTCCCAGGACCTGTTCTCAGTGCCCAGGGAACCCAGGAAGACCTGGCAGGAGAGGAGGGCAGCTAAAAAGTTGGGGTTGAAGATTTTGGCCCCAAATCAGGAGCAGGAGCTGGCAGGGAGGGAAGACTACCCAACTACTAGGGCAGAAACCCCAGGACACGATGAGCTTGAGGCAGGACCCAGCTCATCGGGAGAGGAAACTGGAGTGGGTTCCCCAGAACTTGAACAGGTTGGATCCCCAAGCGAGACTTTTGGGCAGAATCAAGCTAATGACCCAGTATATCAAACTGTCTGTAAAGATGCGGTTGAAGTTAATGGGGTCCCAGTGGAGGGAAAGAACAAAGGCACTGGGCCATACTATATACTTAAAGGGGATCTACTATATAGAGTAGCTTGTATACAGGACCAAGAGGTGGAACAACTCTTGGTACCTCAAAAGCACCGGAGTGCAGTACTGGAATTAGTGCACAGTCATTTATTTGGAGGACATCTGGGGTGGATAAGACCCTGGGCCACATCCTCCGGAGGTTCTTTTGGCTAGGGGTCTATGCAGAAGACCTCAGATATTGTGCTTCCTGCCCTGAGTGTCAATTACATGGGCCCTGATCACACCTGAGGGCCCCACTAGTATCCTTACCCATCATTGAAGTCCCCTTTGAGTGAATTGCTATGGAAATAATAGGCCCACTAGAGCGGGCTGAACGGGGCCATCAGAGTTGTGGTAGACTATGACACCCAGTACCCAGAGCTGGTGCCCCTACGCAATACCCTGTCCAAAACAATTGCTAGGGAACTAATTCAAATTTTTTCTAGGGTAGGATACCCAAAGAAATTCTAACGGACCAACGGACACCCTTTGTGCCCAAGCTTATGAAGGACTTGTGTACCATGCTCTCCATACGTGCCCTGAGGACATCAGTTTATCAACCCCAAACAGACGATCTTGTTGAGCAGTTTAACAGGACCATGAAAAATACCACCTCAAGAAAGTGGTAAGCTGGGACGGCAAAGATTGGGATATTCTGCTTCCATACCTCATGTTCGTGGTAAGGGAAGTTCCTCAAGTTTCTATTGGGGTCTCCCCATTTGAGCTTTTATATGGGCGTAACACACGGGGCAGACTGAACCTTGCCAAGGAGGCCTGAGAGGAACAACCCAACCATGGAAGAAATGTTGTTGATCATGTACTCCATATGACGGACAAAATAGCCAAAGTCACCCTCATAGTGCGGGAACATTTAGAAAAGGCGCAGGGGGCCCAACAGGCCTATTACAACCAGCGAGCGACAGCCCAGAAGCTCCAGGTGGGAGACCGGGTGATGGTGCTAGTGCCAACAGCAGAAAGTAAGCTCCTAGCCCAGTGGCAGAGGCAGGGGCCATACAAAGTAATAGAAGCAGTTGGAGAGGTAAACTATACATTTCGCCAGCCTGACCAGCAAAAGCCAGAGAAAATATATCCCATCAACCTGCTGAAACTCTGGTGAGACAGAGAAGGGTCATTGGTTGCTCTGGGGTCACCACCCCAAAGGGAAAGCCCACAAAGGCAGGTGGGTATACCTCCCAGGCTGACCCCAGATCAAAAGGCAGAAGTAGCTGACATGACTGAACGAAACCATGATGTGTTTTCGACAGAACCTGGTAGAACTACAGAGATTTACCATGACATCATCAGAGATCCCGGGGTGAAGGTAAACTTTAAACCATACCGGATACCTGAGGCAAAACGAAGGGAGATCCGAGCTGAAGCTGGGAAAATGCTGAAACTTGGAGTCATTGAAGAATCACATAGCCAGTGGTCTAGTCCTATTGTTATGGTGCCCAGGCTGGATGGAAGCCTTCAGTTTTGCAATGACTTCCAAAATTTAAATGAGGTATCCAAATTCGATGCCTATCCCATGCCATAGGTAGATGAACTCATTGACCACCTGGGCAAGGCCCGATTTCTATCTACCCTTGACTTGACCAAGGGCTACTGGCAGATTCCTCTAGTATGAGGAGCCAAGGAAAAGACAGTCTTTTCAACACTGGAGGGTCTCTTTTATTATACGGTCCTCCCTTTTGGCTTGCATGGGGCTCCTGCAATGTTCCAAAGGCTTATGGACAAGCTATTGCGGCCATATGCCTAGTACACGGCTGCCTATTTGGAAGATCTTGTTGTCCACAGTCCTGACTAGGACACACACCTCGAGAAAGTAGAGGTAGTGTTGGAGACCCTAAGGAGAGCGGGACTTATGGTGAACCCCGTGAAGTGTACAATTGGGCTGGCCGAGGCCAAGTATTTTGGGTATATTGAGGGAAGGGGTGTAGTGAGGCCCCAACTCAACAAAGTGGATGTGATACAAAAGTGTCCCCAACCAACCCGAAAGAAATAAGTCAGGGTGTTCCTGGGATTGGTTGGATATTACTGTAGATTCATCCCCAACTTCGATTCCAGGGCCTGCCCTTTGACCGACCTGACTAGAGCTTGCAGTCCCAATGTTGTAAAATGGACCACTGCAGTGGAAGAAGCTTTTAAGGATCTCAAGACGGCCCTCTGCGGTGATCCAGTTCTCATAGCCCTTGATTTTAAGAAGGAGTTTATCCTGCAGACTGATGCCTCAGAAGTAGGGCTAGGGGCTGTATTGTCACAAATGGTTGGGGAAGAGGAGCACTCAGTTCTGTACCTCAGTAGGAAGCTTCTGTCAAGGGAATGAAACTATGCGGTAGTTGAAAGGGAATGTCTTTGGTAAAGTGGGACATGGAAAGCCTACGTTACTACCTCCTTGGGGGAAGTTTACCCTGCTCACCGATCATGCACCCCTGCAATCGATGCACTGAAACAAGGACAAGAATGCGAGGTGACCCAGTGGTTCCTGTCCCTGCAGCCCTTCCACTTCTGCATGCAACATAGATCAGGAACCCAGCATGGGAACGCAGACGGGTTATCAAGAGTACATTGTTGTCCGACCCAAGTAGCCCAACCCCATGGTGTTGAGCAGGGGTGGGGGCGATGTGTGGCAGGGTCAGGCCAGGGAGCTGCTGCAGAGAGGGAAAAAAACAGCCCCAAAGGGTAAAACCCCCTGTAAGTAGAAGCAGAGAGCTGCAAGCCAATTAGATGCAGCTGGGAGGGAGCTTGCTCAGGCAGATTGGGGCCAGCTGACTCCTCTGCTGTCTGACTGAGGGCCTTTAAAAGCCTCAGCAGCTGGATGCTGGGTGTGTGAGAGGATGGAAGGGATGTGGTGGAGAGACAGAGAGAAAAAGGTTTGAGAGGACAATCCACAACAGCACTAGGTGGAGGCAGCTAAGGAGAGAGTCTGAGGAGGTGTGGCTGGGCTCCCTACCACAGGGACCTGCTGCAAACCCCAAACTCTGGGGTTAGGAGCAAGAGACCAGCCCAGTGGTGGCCTGGGTAAGAGGGGCCCTTGCCACACTGTCTACCAGAGTACAAAATGAGTTTATTGAGCTGTGTGGGACATTTATGCAAACAACAATTCTTGAAGAGATACAACATGCGAAGTACGTTTAAATTATTATTGATGCAACTCCAGACTGTTCTCATAAAGAACAGACAACCTTGGTTGTTAAATATTTTGAAATTGCAGGAAGTTCAAAGGTTTCAATTGAAGAACGATTCATTTTGTTCAATAATTTCATGAAAAAAACTGGAAAAGAAATCTCCACTCATATATTAGTGTGGCGTAGTGGGGGTGCTGTCTGCTCTGTGACCTGGGGTCCGGCTGCGCTGTGATGTGAGATTTTCACTGACTCTCCCAAATGTGTATTAACCCAGACACCCAGGCTCAACCTCCCAGGGAGGGAGACAAGGGAAGGAGGGCGGAGACCAACACCTGGCTGGGGAGCAGGGCTGGAAGAGGGTTTTAGTTGCTGTCTGGTATCATGGAGGAAGCAGCCTAAGCAACAGGCTGGGATTTAGGGGACCAGTCTCCCCCATCTCAGGGGGGGCTGAGGCATCCTAGGCCTGTCCTGTAACCAGATTACATCTGTGCTGTGCTGTATCCTGGAGAAGCAATAAACTCCCTATATTCTACTGGCTGGTGGAGTCTGTTCGTGCCACTACGGGGGTGCAGGAGGCAGGGGAACCCCGACGCACTGCCACAATTAGAAATTCTGGAAGTCTTCAAATTAAACGTTCAAGTCTGCATTGGCCAAGCCTATGACAAAGGATCCAATATGGCTGGGAAGTACAACAGAGTACAAGCTGTCCTTCTTGAGCAAAATCCAAATTGTAATTCTCCAGTTGTGGCAACCACACACTAAATCTTATTGTGCATTGATTGTGCTGAATCATGCAAGGAAGCAATCACATACTTTGGAACAATCCAGCAGTCCTCAAAAGTGGGAAATTCTGAAGCAGCATCTGCCTGTTTCCCTTCATGTCATTTCAACTATGAGATGGTCAGCACGAATTGATGGCGTTAAACCAGTTGCACAGCATTTCGACTGTGAGAAAGTCTTTAAGTGAGCTTGAATCGCTTTCTCTCACAGCATAGGCTCGCACTGAGCTTAAGTCAATTCAGAAAGATAAATCCAAACTTGAATGTATTTTAATGCCAGCCATGTGGATGCTGCTGCTAAAAATGATCCAGGAAAGTAATCTTGTAATTGATGCACACAATGCTACATTAGATGTCGACAGGGATAACATTGAATGAATTCTCTTAGATATTCAAAGGTTCATGATCAGTGGGACACAGTCCTTTCTGAGTCCATATTAGTAGCACAGGGGGTACGTCTATACTTGCACCCTAGTTCGAACTACAGATGCAAATGTAGGCGACTAAAATTGCTAATGAAGCGAGGATTTAAATATCCCATGCTTCATTGGCATAATCTCGCCCATGCGCTATTCCGATCACCAGCTGATTCAAACCAGGAAGTGTGCTCCGGGCCGCATTAGTTCAGTCAAACCCCTTGGTTCGAACTAATGTTACTCCTCATTTTTTAAATCCCCTCTTCATTAGCAATTTCAGTCACCTATATTTGCATCCCTAGTTCGAACTAGGGTGCAAGTATAGAGGTACCCAGGGTGTTGACATTTCATCTGAGTTTTCCACCAATCGCAGCTGAACATCTCAGTCTGATGCAGAAAGATGCTATCGAGTCAATGCTTTTTTTGTTATTATTGACTCCATCAAATCTGGTGTTACACATCCATTTGAGTCACTGTGACAAATTTGTACCCTTTTTGGATTCCTTTGAGAGTTCAGAGAACTAAGTGATGAAGTTCTATATTCAGCGGCTGAACAGTTTCAACCAAGATACAACAATGAAATTTCAAGAGATCTCTGTGATGAGATCATCTTCCTGAAACATATACATTCCACCAACTTTAAATTGGACTGTAAGCCAAAAGAACTGCTTCAAGAAATATTCACTCTCAGCCTGTCCACTGCATTTCCTAATATCACAATTGCATTACATATTTTTGTCAGTCTCCCTGCATCAGTGGCTTCAGGTGAATGCACATTCAACGTGTTAAAACAAGTAAAGAACTATCACCATTCTACAATAAGACAAGAGCATTTGAATGGGCTCACAAGGCTTAACATTAAAAGTGACGTTGCACATAAATTAGATTTTTCTGCAATTATAAATGAGTTTACACATAACAAAGCCCGAAAAGCATTCCTGAAATGAAGAGTTTTGCTTGCAGTGGAAACTCACAATTAAAGTTACAGTTTTAATATACATGCTCCTGATATAATGACTTAATTGTTAAATACATGTTTCAAGTGTTTATTTTCATAGATTCTTTTGCTTTTAGTATGACCCTGTGGATGAGAAGTTAGACACATTGGGGGGCTGGGGCCTCTAAACTCAAATTGGCCCAGGCCTCTGTCATTTTCTGAGGGTACATCTACACTGCACAGGTATTTCGAAATACACTATTCCAGAATAGTTATTCTGAAATAGCATATTTCAAAATAGCACGTTTATACTGCAGAGAAGCCTCAAAATCAGTCTGAGGCTGCCTTCCCCAATGTAGATGTGCTATCCCGATTTAGAGCCCCAGGAGACACTGGGGAGGAATAACTTAGAATGGCCCTTGTGAGGGGCTATTTCAAAATAGCAGCAGAGGAGTGTCTACACACACCTTATTTCAAAATAGCTATTTCAGAATAGGTGTTATTCCTCATAGAATGAGGTTTACAGATTTCAGAATAAGCCCTCTGTTATTTCAAAATTATTTTGAAATAACGGAATGGCTGTG